TTAATTCTACCAAGCAAACAAAAAGTTTCTTGAAATTTTTTATTGATGAATTTTGACTTGTTTATTTGGAGATTCAAGTGTAGGTGGGAATTTATTTCTTGAAAAAAATCATTAGAGTTGAGAACACAATATGAATGGGATGTTACATTTGAGATCGATTATATTTCTAAGGACGTTATAACTCTTGAAGGACGAGTCATCGATATCCGGGAAGGACGTTGAGAGAACTCCAAGTTCTTTCAAGTGTATTTGCCCTCAAATACGATGTGCTGTTCTCACTTGCCCCTAAGCTCTGCAACCGAATCTTTTGTTAATACCTCCTGAGATATATATATATTTCCCGCGAGCTATCGTAAAATTACTTTGACGTTCCAAGCAGTACAGACGAGTGAATTGCAGATTAATTATTTACAATGTTATTTCTCTGCTTTTGTATATACTTACCTAGTACATCAAATAAACAGACAAATTTTAAATATTTTCTTTCCTACACTGAGTAAATAAGTGTAACGTTCAAAAATACATTCCTAGGAGTTGAAAAATAATATAACAGTTAAAAAAAATACCTTAGTATTATTTGAAGCATAAATATTTCGATTGTTATCTGCAGTGAATTTCCAAAAATTTGAGTAAAAAGCTTCCGGTGTCCATCTGGTCACTGATTACGACCCTTTTCCACCCGAAACAACAACTTAATTGTCCTCAATGTGTATTTGTTCAATTTGCAATCGTTCTTTATTTTTTTTTTTTTCTCTTCACAACCAATCGAAGAAAAAAGATGGCATCTGCCGCCAAGTTTTTCCACGATGTTAAAAATTCGATCGTGCGTGTTGTTGTGTTTTACTTAACTGCCGACTATATACGTCATAAGGGTCTTAATTATCCTCTCGTTTATTTCGCTTGGCTGCCAAAAGAGCGAATGATGCGACAGCACAATTTCCTTACAGACACAAGAGATGACATAGAAGGGAGAAAGAGATGAAAACTTCAATAGAATGTTGTCTCAGCCTGGAGCAATACCGCAAATTTCATGGACCTAAACAAAATTACATAAGTTTTCATATATACATTTATTTCATATATCAAGAAACAATATACTGGATTATTAATTTCAATTATCACTGAAATATTCACTTTCTACTTCTAATTCATTTAATAAATAATACAACACAATAAATATTGTTAAAAATATTTTAGAAGTGTTTTATTTCAATGTATTTGATGTCATTATAATCATTTTTTAAACATTTTTAGTGCATTAGAATAAGACATTTCTAAATGCAAGGTTTAGGGGGAATTGAGAGCAAAAATTACTCCAAAAAAATAAAAATTGCTCCAAAGTAATTACATTTAATTTTTTTGGAGTAATTTTTATTTCAAGTGTAAATAAAATATTATTTTATATATTTTTATACAGTAGGATCCATGCATTTTTAATTAGAAAATTTTTAACTTGAATAAAAATTATCTAAGTAATTATAAAGAATAATAGTTATAATAACAATTTTTGTTAAAATCATTTTATTTGGTCAAATAAATAGAATGTCATTTGTTTTCATACTTGGATAACAATATTATTAGATCGAATAAAATATTATAATGAGAATACTTCAAGTTTAGTTTATTGATTAAATAAAAAATACTTTCATTTAACGAAATTTTTTTCTCAGTGATATATGCATAGACTCTATTGTATTCAAAAAAATTTTTAAATGAAAAGTCATGAAAAAAAGATGTAAAAAACAAATATAAATAACTTGACTATGAAACTGATTCTTCGTAACAAACATGATTTTCCCAGCTCGAAATAATTTTATTTTTTTCCATGGTGATCGACCCCTCGTGCAAACACACTTGAAATGGTTCTGACAGTGTCCGAAGGACATTTATGAAAGAAGCCGAATATTTTAGTGGAAAATGTTGTACATATAGAGAATAAACTGTATAAAGTAGTACAACCTTTATAATAGAATTTAAACAACGATTACAACTATTGAATAATGAAAAAACAATATTTGAGTACATTTTCGTTTTTATATCTCAAGTATCAGTTTTCGATCTTTTTTTATACCTACTATCCGATAGCTCAGGGGTTGAAGTAGCACTTAAAAATCGTTAAACATATCAAAATTCACAGAAACAAGTGACTTGAAGAGTAAACATTTGTAGTTTTCTTGAGTTGAGTTATAAGCTGATCGGCGCCATCGTCTACCTTAAAAACTTAGCTTGATCGCTAACACGATAAAATCTTGCTAAATCATGGACTACCTGTTCTTTTATGCACTTATATTCTTTATTTCAGTCTCACCTAATGCATCAGCTTTTTAAAAAAAATTTCACTCAAATTTTTATACTCCCATTAACTTACTCTAAATTTATATGAATAATAAAACTCTACTAAATCTTTTCTAAAATTCACAAAAATTTATTTCAGTAAAATATTATTTCTGGTAGAAAAAAATGTATTTTAGGTGGAGAAAAAAATTGAAACGCATTCAGAGAGAATTAAGGAATAAAATAAAAATACAGACTAGTAAGAGTAGTGTACAAAGACTGTATAAGTGAATAAAAAAATGCGGAATGAGCATCGGGGGCCCCCCAAGACACACGTGAAATGAAAGAGCAAGGCCGAGAGAATGAGAGATCAAGCCGTCAGAGTCGCTGGAAGGGGCCATATCGTTTTAACGTCTCTATTAGCGGCTATTAAAAACGAGCTAGCGAGATGAAAAAATGCCTGGGGGCTGCATCGAAGGGAGCGAGGGGGCGTGAGAGGGGCCAGAGAGGGATTGTTCTATATAGGGGTAAATACGAGAGAGAAAGATAAAATAAAAGACGGGGTGCGTGTGCAGGACCGTTTGGAATCGCGCCTTGGTCGTTTCACATGATGCGATGTACGCTGGTGGACCTGAGTATCCAATTACCTTTTGTCGTGGGCCAAACGAGGCTCAGATTCTTCAGCGATATATACCCCCATTGTGTGCATCAGGGTATTTAGCATGGCACAAGGTATAGGCTAGAAGGCTATATGAGCTGCTGAAGCTTCGAAAAATCCAACGGGGTAGTGGGAGAGAAAAGTAAAACCTAAATCTGTCGAGTGAGTAGTGTGTGCTGCAGGAGCTGAAGGTATATAACCAAACCTCCCTTCCCAATAGTATCTCGTGACACGTCGGCCAGATTTTGTTAAAATGATATCCCGTTCCTTGCCCTTGCTATACAAATTTTTTTTTCCTCCTTTATTCTCTTCAATCCACAGTCGTTTAGTCCTTTTAATTCTTTAATACTTCCTGATGGTTATGATCGGTTTCATGCTGTTTATATTTTTCTTATTCCAATTAAAAAAAGAAATATATATTCACAATGGATTTATAATTATCTGAATGAGCATTTCAGTGAATTAATTCAGACCTCAAATAATAAACACAATGGATTTTATCAACTTGTTAGTTTGTTAAGTAGTATAATTTTAATTAGGCAGACAGTATTGAATTTGATCTAAAAATAAATGTAGGAATTATTTGGAAAAATTAATTGAATATTAATAATGTGGAATAAAATTTGAATTCTTTTTTTGATAGAATAAAATAATAAATTTCGAATGGGCATGAATTGTAAGTTCAGCGACCGTTGGCCAACACACCATTATCTTTACCCGTTATAATTGGCAAAGAGAGACGCAGTAGACTTTTACATGCACCGGACGATGCTTTGAAAAAGCGTCTTGTCATCCCGCGTAAATGCACGCGCTGCTGCCACACGCATCCGGGCGCTGCACCTGATACCTATATTCCACGCTACCGAATTTTTGATTTTTTTTTATTTCTTATTTTGCAGCAAATGTTTTACGTCCAATGCCGCAACATTATATATCTGAACGTCTGCCACTATAAATGTCTTCTTGATTTGATACACCCTTCTCGCGAATTTTCAATGGTCGGTGCAAAGTGATTAATTGCAGAATTTAATATGATAAAAATACATTACGATTTTTTGCTAATCAAGAAATTCATAAATTCATTCTTTCAAATTTTTTCGCTGAATTAATGGATAAGAAATAAATTAAAATCACATACATTATATGTTTTATTTAAATTTTAATGCACGATTAAATAAATAATAAGGTAAATAATATAATAGTTTAGTAAAAAAAAAAAAAAATAATGGAAATAAAATAGCAAAGTATTTAGCTGGACTTGAGACAAAAATAAATCCATTTTACGTTTAGTAAATGTCTTAAAACATTGACTACTTGTCGCAGAATGTCACTACGGAAAAGCTCGTGAAGTTTTAAATGCTGAGTAAAAATAAGAAAAAGAAACGATAAAAGACGGCTGTTAAGTTTCAAGAAGTAACTAAGGGACAGACCGATTAGTAACAAAAACACACTAACTGTTATATTTTCTTGACTTCTTTCGCTTGTTTTTTTCGCTACTCCACTTGTATACTAGACATCTTGAGCATATTGCAATCAATCCAATGTCATCAACAGAAAAGCTTCTAAAATTTTAGTTGATTATTATTTTTTCTTTTTACTCTTTAGTTCGTTTCTTTTGATTAAAATACTTGGATTTATAACATTGTCTATAAAATTTCAAAATAAAACTATAATTCAATTAACCTTGTAATGATTACAAGTTTCTAAAGAATAATTTTGATGACGAAACATTTGAACATTAACGCAACTCGACCGTGAATCCTTTTACACTTGATGAAATGATGAGCTATGCATTAATTTCTTAGTGCATTGGGGCTGCATAATGACTGGCTAAATAACAAGCTGCGGGACGATATAATATCAGCATTTTAACGAGGAGAAAACTACTATGGGTGCATCAAACTGTACCTTTTAACACCTAAAATTATCCTCGAAATTTATTACAATAATTTTTTCTTTTTTATTACTTATCTCATAATCACATGACATTATTTTTAAGTTAATCAAATTATAAAATATTATTTGTGATAATAGTTATTAACAAAAGATTGAATTGTTTATGATTCAGAATGCAGCAACAAAGTGGTCAAGGAAATGGAGGATCGCGACGTGCTTTAAGTCCCGGTCCAGGTGCCAGTGATTCTGAGGATTCGGATATATCTTTAGGAGGAACATCACCACCATCACCATCATCAACACCACCACCAACTCATCATCAACCTTCTCCAGTACCATTAGGTCCCGTCGGACCATTGCCTCCAGCACCAACGCTAAATTTTCGCTACGATCCAAGTCAATCGCAATTTCGTTTTGGACCTGCTACTGCATTCAAGTTTCCATCAACTGGATTCCGCTTTGGGCCTCACAGTCCTCAGCACAATCATCCAACGATTTCTCCCAATACGGGAGGAATGTTTAGGCTCACTGAAACGAGTCCTTTTCAAGCCGTCGGGCCCCGGGGAGACCTCGGCTCGAGGTGTGTATATCGATCTTTGAGTCATGATGTTAGAAATCGTTATAGAAATTTGTAAGTAGTTTTTTTAAATAAATTTTCTTTTCTTTCAATAAATAGTCTTGTTGTCAGAAGCACTATTGTCAAGCAAATTTTTATTCCCTTTCTCTTTTTTTTTTATCTATAGATTACCAGACACAATGGGTCTACCAGCTCCACGAATACATTCGCATGATAGTCTACTGCATCATCCTCATCCACAACATCAACTTCCTGAAAGTATTTCACGGCTGTCCGACGGATCTCGCTTATCCGATGGTGGCATATCACGACTTTCAGACAGTCTCAGTGAAGCTCACAGTCCACCACTCGTTGCAACAAATCTTTCGGTTACTGGACCACTTCGAGTTGCTGTACCAAGTCCACATACTCCATCATCACGTGGCAGTCCACCATCTAATCAACAAACTCCACACTCTCAGACTGTTCAAGTTCCTAACCAAGGATTAATTCGAGTTATCACTCCACCACCGAATCCAAAGCCACCACAGATCCATAGGCCTTTTTCACCAGCGTGATACGAGAGCACTGAATTCTGCGTTCTGTAAGTGTCTTCGATGATGATCATCATGTCAGTAATGAAACTATGATTATTGTAACTTAGGCAACTATTACGGAAATAATTACTCGGACTCAAATTTGTTTTTTATTTCAAAGTTAAAATAGCATTTAATTTTAAATAATTTCGATCAATAAATTCAGTCTGATTTATGTATCAAATATTACAAAAATGTGTAGAAAAAAATGGTATCACAAATATATCTATGTTGGTGGAATTTAATTTGATATACAAAAAAATTTTTCAAAGTAAAAATTATTACATTGAACACTAACACTGCAAATCCAAGTTGTAGACACTTTTAAAACGCTAAGCCTCTTCAATGTTAAAATTCATACATAAACTATAGATTTTTTACACACTACGAAACGTATGAAAAGTGTCTACAAATCATGCATTATTTGTTAATGGGCATTTTACATTGAACACACTTTACGTGTGTTATTTTAACACGTTTGTGAAATCCTAGGATTTGCAGTAAAATTGCAAATTTGAAAGTGTTTCTATTTCAGTGCACTTAAAAGTGTCTTAAAATGACACCATTCATTTGATTAACATTGTAATTAATTATAATGCACTTAGAAGTGTATAAAAAGTAATTACAATGCTAATCAAATGAATGACGTGTCATATTTAAACCCTTTAAATGCATCGAAATGAAACTCTACTATTTGCAATGTAATTATTATCAGCTTAATAAAATTTATTCAAAACACATGATAATGTTTCGACTTATTTAGTAAACATTATTTTAAATAAAAGCTGATATTACATCATTAAAAAAATCGGACCCATTACTATAACTTCCCAATGAGAAGTTGAATAAATTAAAAGTGATAAAAATTGCATTACACGTCAGATGTTTCGTGGTAATTTTTACTTATGAAGTTTTTATTAAATAGTTTAAGACTTGTCAACGATTTATAAAAAAAATGAAATAAAGTTAAAAATTAAATGGATTACTCGTTAAAATAATTAACAGACAGACTTGATGAATACAGATTAAAGCTATGACTTGAAAGTAGAAATAAAATTGAAATTCGAGTAATTTAAAACGACTGATCAGTGATGATATAAAAATGATTAAAATGATAATGACTGTAAATATAGAAAGTATAGATGTAAGCTTTTAGGTAGAGCTTTTAACTGTAAATAAATAGTAAGAAGGATGTGAGTGATGAAGTATAAAAATTGATGTTCGAGGGAAAGGACAATAGAGACGCTGGTAGTCCTATAAGACACACTTTGTCGCTCGATGCAACGAGTGTTTCCTTTTCCTATTTAGTCCTCGTTTATAAAGAAAAAGCAATAAGTTTGCATTGTCATACCACTAAATTGCTATTGAAGATTTCACTATAATTGTAAATACAATTATTACTTATATAGATGTAGATATATACATATTATAAATATTATATAAATATATATACATAAAAAAAGATATTATATAAAAAAAAAATTGCGTCACTAAATACCAGTCAAATTGGTTAATGACGTGATAATGGACAGAGTGGAATCTTTAATTTTTGATTATTTATTCGTTCATGAAACTCAACAGTATTTTTGTCATCCAGTAATTAGACAAAGATATCGGGTTATTAAGATGATAACTATTTCATGAATTATTTAATTTTATTTTTCCTTATAAATATTACTCATCCTTTCATCCGAAAATCTGCGAGAGACAAGACTGATTCGCAGTGCTTCGTGATTGCGATTCCCGTATTAAACAATTTTTTAAAAAAACAACAACAACGAAATATTTAGTCGTTGTGGATGCGTGCAAAAATTAATTATGATGTTTTTAACGTTTCCAATTCTTTATTTTTATTCAAGCGAAAATATGATTAAATGTCAGAAAAATAAAATACCAAACGTTTTAATCCAACGTGAATCTGTTTAATTTGTTAACGAATTATGTTTTAAACAAATGAAATGTATGATACTGAATAGTTTTCAACCAATTAAAATTAGCGTAAAAATAATAAAAAGAAAAATAATGAAAAATATGCAATGATAAAAATGAGTGATTTTATTTGACGAATTAATTATTGTAAAAAAATTATTGATTGCTTTGTATTTCTGTAGATAAAAAAGAAAAGGAAAAATGTTACGTCTAGTGAAATTATTGTATAGATGATTGACTAAATTCTTATAAATATTGAACATAAATTTAGTGTATTGCATAACTTAGGTACCTATGTTAATAAATTAATATGAAAATTATACATATTATATATATAAATATTATATATATTATGAACAAAAGAAAACCTTATTGATATCATAATAACTATTAAGATTATTATTATCTTTATTATTATTTGCGCCTGTAAATAAATTCACGCGAAAATATATTAACAAATTATTATGAATCTACATAAAAATATTTTATTTATTTCAATTCTACTAAGATACGGAAGAAAAAAAAATTCCTACAAGTGTTTAGGGGGAAAAAAATGGTCATCAAGTTGATATTATTTTTCTAAAAATGATGATGAATGATTTTAATGATAAGTTAACGAAAGATGTTGGTAGATAAAATGATGTGTGGGCGTGAGTGTCACTTACAAATTGAACCAATAGGCAGTTGAGGCATCGCTGTAACTGATCCCATAGGTTGAGCTTATGATGCTTGTAGTAAAAAGTTAGCAGAAGTCTACAGCGCATGCTTTAGTCATCTTTGGGGTCACACAACGGGAGGGCAAATCTATAATTGCTACCTTAGTATCCATATCAGTTCTCATTTTTTATTCCTCTCCCTTTCTACCCTATCATCGTCATAGAAATGTATTTTTTACAAAAAAGAAACAAAGCAGGTCTTCTATCAATCTACATGTGGAAATAAATTATGTAGAATGATGAACACATTTTCAATAATAAAATTCCTGATAGCTTTCATGCGATACATGCGATCGATTAGAATAAATCCCGAACGATATACATGAGTAAAAGCTGCTCTCTCGCAGCTAGCGATATCACGATCGATGATAATCATCAGCATGCCATTCATGTTCGTTGATGGTTGAAAAAGAGGGATAGCGAGTAAAAAAGAACCAATATGTCGTTTGGATAACTGTCCCAGTGGATTTCTGAATGTTACTTTGATGCTTTTGCACTTCCCTCTCTCTTTCTCTTTCACTTTCCACAACATATCCACCCTCTTTCCTCTCAATTCCCCTGACATGTAGACTAGACCAACGACACTGCGTCACGCTTTCCGCCTCAGCAGGGCGTGTTTTGACAGTTGCTGCTCCGACACCTCTGGCACATTCATTAGAAAGTGGTTCTCAGCCATTCTATGTCAGACATACCTAAATAAATGTAGCTTCTCAGCTTGTCTACTAGCAATTGGGAGTCTCTGGGAAGATTCCAGCTGTCCGGATTTAGATGTTTAGGATAATGCGGTGTGCCCGGGAACTTACAACTAAATAATGTAGTCCACTTTCTGAATAGGTTTTGGATATTGGGACATATAATGGCAAACTGAGTACGGAAAAGAGATAACCTGAATGAAAGGAAAGTTTGAGATATGGCAAGAAGTGAGATGCATGACTTGGTCTACCAGAGCAAATGAGATAGAATAAATGAATGACAAAGAGTAACTATGTAGTTCTCTAGTGGTTATTTGTAGACAGATTCGACACTTTGACAATATACTTATATATACAGAATCATAATGGATCAACCTCCTAATCTTTCTCCTTCCTTTGTTACACTCATTCAGTCCATTGATGAAATAAGAGAGAAAGCGAATATACTCTGTATCTATCTCGGTGGAGATTATGGTTGGCCTCAGGTATTTGTTGTGGATCTACAGTGTCCACAGATAGACGGTTGGGTGCCACGAGGCAAAAAAAAAGGGAATGAGAAAGGTGTGAAAAACCACGGGGTAAATCTCAAAAGGATCTTTTTAAGATTACTCTTCGTGTTCATTGTTGCGGTAAGAAGTTTTTCGTATTTTGAGATATTTCCTTTTGTCGACTCATAGGTTACGTCCACTTCTTCCGGCTATTGGATCCATAGCTGGGATCATGCTCTCTTAAGCGCTTGAGAACGCGGGATAATTTTAAGTAAAAATTCTTGTACCACATTAATGCTCTCTAAATATGTAAAAATAGATTACACAGTTATACAAAGAAAGGAATGTTGATTATTCCTTGTGGAATTTTTCCTCTGTTGTTGAAAGCAAAAATTAATCTGCCTAGCTATTATTCTTGGTCAAGAAATGTATTTTTTTTTATTTCACACGGAAAATAATGGAATTTACAACTGAATTAATTCTTGTGGATATTTTTTAAAGAGATCCTGTTGACTTGGTTTTCAGTTATTCAATATACACTTAAGTGTTTCTGTTTAAACAATCATTAAATGTAATGGAGGGTTAGTGATAATGTCAAATGAGGGGACTTTAGTCTTTCACAATAATAATATTATTCTTAACGTTCTCGTGATTATTTTGTAACTACAGTAATTTCAATTTTCTCAATCACTAGATCATCTTACAAGCTTTTGAATGGCATACACACGAGGGGTCAACGCTTCATTTTCACACGGGGTTAATAAAAGGCTAGATATAACTTAGTATTAGAACACACTATAATGCAATGCCGACCTTCGTTTAATTTAAATACATCCTATGTACGAAATTTCAATGGGGGTGTGTTCTTACGACCCTCTCGATACATTCACTTGGGGGCTAAGAAACACTACTGATTCAGTCTATGGGAAAAACAAAATGTTATTTTAGCCGTCAGTCATCAACTGAAATGCTTTTGCTACCAATTGTCACAAACATCAAAGTTTTGACTTTTTTACATTACAGATTATATACTCTTGTAAAAACGTTCAAGAATCTGATACATAACACTTTTTGTTAATAAACATCAATGAAGGCAGAATTATTCTCTTTTTTTTTTAACCAAAAACTCTAAACAGTAATAATTTAATAATAACTTTTTTTTAATAAAAAAACAATTTAAAACATTAAAAAATAACTCTTTATAAACTTTTTATTTAAAATATGAAATAATCCCTCATAAATAAAATTGAAAAAAAGGTAGAATTTTACCAAAATATTATATCGGATTTCCAAGATATACCGGATATTCTAGAGGAGATAATACATGCATGTATGTATATAACATGATCAGTTGATAATAAATAAGGATTAATATTCAAATGACTAACTACTTCTCTATTAATTAATAAAAAAAAAACAATAAAAATCCAAGATTATTAATAGATATTTTAAAGTAAATATCAGTGATCCTTTGATGCTTATTGATTGATCAATTAATTAACATTCGTGTATCCTTATCCTGTGGAGTAAGGATAATGCGTGAAGCGAGTATGGTGCAAATGTGTGGGGAATATATGGATAAGTAAGGTCTAGCACACGGCATTTCTATGGGGCTTACGCCACATATACCTCTAGTTACTCCGGATGTTTCAGGCGTCACTGCCCTTACGAAGTACTAAGCGGCTTAACACTGTGGGGTTTATGTTATACCAATGGGGTATCTCCTAACTTTACGGGTCTTATGTACAAGTAACCCATGCTACTGCTGCTTCTCTATTCCAACGTTGGTATTATCCAATCCCTACCACACATATGGTGGCAATATATATGCTGATGGAAAGACTATTTAGAATAGATGTGTATATAACTACTAAATATCATCAATTGTCGTTCGTCTATACTCTTTTAGATTCACTTCACTGAACATTTGAGTTTTTCTTCCTTTCAATTTTCTGATGAAGGCATTGGAATGCAATTCGACAGTTGGAAATTATAGTTTCCTATGAATAAGTTCTATCATTTTCCTAACGTATCTGCTATTCTTTTGAATTGTCAGTTAATTTATTTTACATCATTATGTTACTTAGCACTGACTGAACCTTCATTCTGTTTATTCAAAATTAAAAAGAATTTTTTTCAGAAAGTAAATGAAAAAAAATAAAGTTTAAGGTTGAGTTTGATAATAAAATTGTAATTTTAAAAGAAATGTTTATTTTGAAAAAAAAAAAAGTTGAATTTTATTGGAAAAACTTTTTGATGAATCAGCTTGAAATAAATGGAGCATAGAAATATGTATGAGTTAAAATTCCATAGGAAAAAGTAGACTACTGTGTAGCTAAGTACTAACAGAAGCTGCAGATTAAGGGAGCAAAATACTATTATTGTAAAGGGTACATTCTCCTATGGAGCTCTAAGTAGTGTGGTTAAGTATGTTGTTTGAACCAACACTAACAATTCCCTAGTGAGATTACTGCTTATATCCAGACTCCACATACTTTAAGAATTAATCATTGCATTACAGTTCATCATTTTTCCATGATTTCTTTTATTTATTTATTTTCTAGCTTAGGAAAAAAATAAATAAATAAATAAATCTTATCTTTATATCTATAATGAAATAAAAATAATTGAAACTTTGTTGAGGTAATAAAGAAATTAAATACCTTGATTCTAAGTGAATGAAAGGGGATAAAAACCACATGTGAACAGATATAAATTTTTTCCAATAAACGATGCATATCATTTTATGAACTTATATTAGTTGGTATCTACCCAAGCACAGCAAAAGACGTATAATTTTCTTGGAGCTCTGAATTGAACAGCTCTCACTACACTGGGGAGTAAGACGAGTGTAACCGGCTTTCCAAGTTCTGTGGGTGAGGAAGCTCATTAACGAGAGCTTTTCTCTTTCCTTCGTCGTCGTACTAACTCTCCAATAGATTTCCCTTGAAGCTTTTGGCTGAGAAAACCTCTCTCTTGACTAAAACTACCTTTACTTGGAGAAAAGAGGAGAATTGTCAGGCAAGAAGATGAAGAAAGCTGCTTCGTCTATTCGCAACGAGACTTGGTGGTAACCAAGCCAAATTTCTTATTTACATAAGGACTCGAGCATTTAATGGTACTGTGTATATATAGACAGTGGGAAAATTTTCCCTTGC